GATCATGATTATAGTGTCCTATGACTCATTAATAAAAGCTGATATTTCATCAAATTTGTCATAAAACCTTTTATTTTACCCTATATTTTATTTTTCGCTTATCACCAATCAATGGTAACACATGCGTCTATTCCAGTTAAGAAACATGTGTTATTCCAAATACTATAATCAAAAAGTATTTTTTATTTTAAATTATCATCTTCAGAAATCACTACTGGTTTGATAGTGTTATTGTCAGTAAATTCCAATAAGGGAGTAAATCATATTGACTATGCATTATAATCCAACAATTATACATTGTTAGTTATCATTAAGCTAACTGATATTACTAGTTTTAGATTAAATATTAATAGATGTGACTCATACATGATCTAAATTTTTTTTAATAAGTTACTATTAGTCACTATGTATTCAAAAGGTTTTTAAAAATATATATATACCCTTAAATTTTTCCTTGAGAAATTTCAAAATCTCTTTCAAATTATTATCTTTCAAATATTATATTTTTTACAAATATTATTACAAAGTCAAATTTTCTTTTCAAATATTATTACAATTTTTTTTCAAATATTATTCCAAAATCAAATTTTAAATTTTCCAAATCAAATTTTTAAATTTTTTATAATTCAAAATGTCATACCAAATGTGCCCAAACTTCAATACTCCTTTTAACAATATTCCCATTGACAAATGCTATCATTATCGTCTCCAATCTGGGCCATCTACCTTCCAATACTTGCCATTATTCATAACTTACTTATACATTCTTTTTGTTCTTTTATTGATATCAACAAATCTACTTAACTATACGCTCGTTTTAATCCTTGTTTTAATAAAATCTATCATTAAAATATTCTTTTTCCTTTCCTTGAACCTCTCTCTCTCAAATCTCTCTCTTCTCCTCCAACCATTTCATCCATCAAATCTACTATCAATTCTCTCTCTTTTTAAACATTTTCTTATTTCAAATATTTTGTTATTATCACAATATTCTCCTGTTATGTCAATTCTTCTTTTATTTCTTGATTCTCTTCTTTATTTTCTTGATTTTCTTTATGAATTGACTAATTCTATAATATTATTTCTTTTATCTTCACTTTCTTTTTACAAACGTAAAATTGAATTGATAGTTGATTTAAAAAATACCCTTAAAAATTCCCAATAATTTAGACATTATTAAATTAAATAATTTTATATTATGTAGCTAGGTCCATTGCTTACCAAATATAGCATGGAGACGTAATCTTTACCCTTTGGTCAACTTGGGAATACTTGACCATTCTTAGATAGATAATTTTTACAAGGGGATCGTTTGCATCGCCCATGAAGCATTGCACTGTGCTAATTGGTGTCAGAGAGATCCTTTGTCTTGTAAAAATTTACCCTTTCTTGATCATTTGACCATTCTTAGATAGATAAATTTTATAAGGGGATCGTTTGCATCGCCCATGAAGCATTGCACTGTGCTAATTGGTGTCAGAGAGATCCTTTGTCTTGTAAAAATTTACCCTTTCTTGATCATTTGACCATTCTTAGATAGATAAATTTTATAAGGGGATCGTTTGCATCGCCCATGAAGCATTGCACTGTGCTAATTGGTGTCAGAGAGATCCTTTGTCTTGTAAAATTTACCTTTCTTGATTATTTGATTTATCTCATGTGATTTCCTTCTTCACATGTGATACCCTTTATTTTATTCCTTTGTTGAGTTCTTTCCTTAATAACTTATCAACTCAACAATTATCCATCATCGTTGGTTCCACAATTTTTGTGTCCAAGTTCAATTCTTGGAGGTGATTTTTTTATTAATTAGTTTAATATCTTCTTTTTTTTCAGTTTTCCATGGTGTCTTACTGTTTGTACCTTGTTGTGGTAATTATTTGTTTTGTAATAATCAGAGAAATGAATTACTGGAATTTTTTGCATAAATATTTTATTTTCATTCAATAGAGATAAAGTACTCCAGTTTTTCCAACGTGTTCTGGACCTGAAATCTAAAAGAAAGTATATGGAAATGTTAGCAAATGTTTCTAATTAATATAATAAAATTTTTTTTTTTTTGTTTCTTAACGGCATATTACAGAATTTACGATTCTAGCATTTTCAGTGAAACGTTTAATAGTGAACATTTCTAATTAATAAGTTTCACACAGATATTGCGAAACTTACCATCTCCCCAATTCACTCAAAAGTCTAAAACCTACAAAAAATACAAAAAGGAAAAAAACGTTAGTTTATGTTTCTTTAAATAAAAGTTAGAAAATAAAGTTTCAAAGTTACGAAACTTACCAGCACTTATGATTCTGTGTGAAATTGGAAGAAAGTTTCGAGATTTTATTCACCTTTAACTTTTTTCCTCGCATTCTGTAAAGTAAAGTCAATAACATATACGATATAACAACGAATTTATAAAGTAGCAATTTCACAAGACAACAGTTTCCCATTACGGCAACATTGACATTTTCAATTCGAAACTTCATGTATAAAAAAGTTTCTAAAAAATAAGTTTCGAAAGTTTCGAAACTTTATATAGTGCTAAAAAAAATTATAAAAGTTTCAAAAAATTGAAACTTTATATTATATAAAAAAAAAAATTAAAAAAAATAAGTTTTAAAAGTCAAAACTTTACCATACTACTGAAATTTTGAAAAATCGAAGCTTTATGTATAAAAAAAATTTAAATAAATAAGTTTCGAAGGTTCAATTAAAAAAATTACAAAAAGTTTCTCGAAACAAAAAAAAAATTAGTATATCATGAATATCGCGTAATACACGTGATTGGTACGCGAGATTGGAGTGGGCAATCGATTAGTCAACTTTTTAAATATAAATTAAATCGCATAAAAACTATGTATGATACATAGGGAAGGAAACAATGTAAAATTTTAATTTTCTATGATGATAATAGATTTTAAACGCCTAAAACTTGTTTGTTCGATTTATTATGAATTCACCTCGTAAAATCTCCAAAAAAAAAAAAACACTAATCAAATTAATCTCAAAATTCTTTCTCAAGTAAATTTATCAAAAATGAATCCAATAATTATTACCTCTAAACCAATTGTTCCGAAGTAACAAAAATTATTTCGTTAGTAAATTTTTAACGGGAGATTTTTCTTTTTGATAGAAAAGAATTTTTTTTAATAGAAGGGAAGTTTTTTTGATATGGAAATTCTTTTGAGATATTTTAATGGGTAAGAATCTTTTTTGAATTTTTTTTTTTATATAGGGAAAATGTGTTTTTTGATGAAAGATTTTCGTTAGAAATTATTTCTTTAATAGGAAATATTTTTTTGAAAATTCTGTTGGTTGAAAAGTTTTTATAGGTGACATGGTGAATTTCGTTTAGAAGTCTTGATAGAAAAATTTTAGTGAAAATAATTTTTTAATGAGGGTAATGAAAATTTTTGCTTGAATTTTTTTTTTTTAATAAAGAATTTCGTTAAAGATCTTTTTTTTTTTTATAAAAATTTAAAAAATTTGTGAATATTTTTTTTAAATTTTATTCTTAGTATATGGTTTTAATTTTTATCTTTTTGATCTATATTAGCAGCATACTATTTTAATTTTATCATCAGCTTTAGTATCATTAATTTCTTGATTCTATACCTATACTTAAGAAAACCTAAAATATATATAGCTTTTTGTTATTGTGATATACACAGGCAGCCTCGACAAACCGGACTCGTCCTTCCATTAGAAAAATCCGATATATTAAGAAATTCGATTATTATTGTATTATAATAATTCGTTCCAGGATCCAGTTTATCGAAGATCCGGTTTATCAAGATTGATTGTGTAATTTACTTTGTCTTGGAATATATAAGATTATACAGTATAATATTATTCTTCTATATAGTACAAGACCGAATATACTCACATTATAACATTATTCTAGAGGTTGGATCCGTTGTTTGAATGGATATTAATAATTTTGAAGGTCGTATGGATAGTGACTCGCAATTAGCAGGAAGTCATTAAGCCAATGATCATCTATAATGAAGAAAAGCTTATAATTAAACCATCGTTGAGTATCGAGATAAAAGAAATAATACAAAATATAAAGGTGTATCATAAACACGTCAATTTCAAAAAAAAAAAATATTTTTAATAGTATTTTAATAGTATCATTATCAAGAACAGTCATATAGAAATTATTTGTTGAACAACTAATAATAGCGCGAACAGAATCAAATAATACCGAAATTAAGCAACCATTTTTAAACTTAATTCCAGCCAAAGATCTCAGAATTCATTCTTTCATAAATAAATCAAATCAGATGATTAATGACATTCAAAAATTTTTTGGCGAAATTTTTTACTTATTTTATTATATTTTCTATAGTTCCTATTTAATGTTGTGAACAAAACCTGAGAGTTTTGTCAGAGAATAAATCTGAAACTTGGCAAAGTTAATTTCATTTAACTATAGAAAAAATAAATTTAATACCATTCGATCTCGTTCGATCTTCGGTCACATTTATTATTACGTGACTTTAGTATTACAAACTCATTACATTAAAATTTATATGAAATGATAATAATAATAATTATTATGTTTACTTTTGTATACACATTTAATGCTTCCTATAAGATTGATTCATTATACTTCTACCAAAAATCTTCAATGTTTTGTTACCCACATGGTTGCTCGACGTATGGGTTGGAAACGATCAAATCTTTTCTATAGATATTAGTTTCTAATTTTAATAAAGATAGACACGTCCTTGGAATAGATCGGATTTTATGTAAAAAAATTTGAGAACAAGAAATAGCATCAACTTCAACAAAGAACATATAATTATTTAAATAAATCTGTTCCTTCTCCATGGAGATTCTTTGAAGAATGGTGCTAAAATTTTTAGATGTACTATATGTATTTATATATATATTGGAGCTGGAACATTTCTCTTAGAATTATCAAATGAATATTCACTTTTGGGATTGATAAGAAAAATTATTTCTCGCATCAATTAAACCTAGTAATTTAAATTTTAACCATGCTGATATATTGCAAGGAAGAAAATCATTTTGATTTGACTTATTTAAATATCGAACCACGTTATACTTTAGATCAATGGACTTTTGTTATTGGTGAATTAATAAAAGTAAAGCAACCAGATGGATACGTAGAAGTGCAGCAGATTACATTTGAAGTACCTCTACTGCAGATTTGCTGTTACGTAAATCCTACAAAATATTACTCTTATTAAAAATTATTGATTTTTTACTTTATTATAAAGTCTCTTGAAGGAACAGCTGGTTCAAAATTTTTGAATTCGTAAAAAATGTAAGCTATAATTAATTACAAAATTTGTGAAATTTAGATTCATGCACTATATATAAATAAATTAATCTTTTCTTCATTCATAAAAAGTCGCCATGTTAAAAGTTGGCATGTTAAGACTGTTAAGTGTAGGGCACCATCACTTTTATCTACGAATCTTTGTTATTTCAATTTGATCATAAATAATATTAGTATGGATGAATTGAAACAACTAGTTTAGAAATTTATAGAATGTGGTTCATAAAATCGTAAAACTGGTAATAACAAATTAAATTGGAAAAAATGTTTAATAATTGTTTAATTACTTTATTTATTATAAGAAGTATTAATAAATTGGTAAAATTTTATGGTAAAATAATTTTCCGAAAAATTAAAATTTTCGTATTAAATAATGATGTCATTTATTTCTAGAAAATAATTAATTAAGTTATACGTTACATTTGACTTGGCATATGACATATATAGCAATTTTTTGTGAAACAGAAATAATGATAAATATTGGCAATGGTAAAAATTTACGCTTGATCGACATTTTAAGATACTTACAATCACCTAAAAAAGAATTACACAAAGATAAAGGTACGTTAACGTTTGTTTCGTTTGTTTCTTGGCAAAGACCTTATTTTTTTTATAAATAAATCCGCTAGAAAAATGTTTCTCGATTTTTTCAAAACAAATTTAAATTACACTAAAATACATTAGAAAAATTAGAAAAATCAAATTTTAAACATCATAACAATTTATCTTTTTTGAATTTTTATACAAATCATAATTTCATTAAAAATGCAACAAGAAAAAATTCCAACGATTATTATTGTCGGTGCAGTTCTAGGAGGACTTTCTCTTTATCATGCCTTGATAAAGAACAAGGACAAAAAAGAATTCAACGTAAAAATCTTTGAACGTAAAACTAGTCCTACAAGTATAAAAATTTCTAATTTTCTAGTTAAATATTATGTTAAAAACTTTAAAAATTAACTCACTCATACTGTCACATGCTAGATCGATGGCAAGATCATATAGGCTTGTTTAATTATGGAGTTCGATCTCTTTTAAACTGTGTTCTATCCTCGATCACTTCAAACCTTCCAAAAGCAATACCAAATCCAATTCCCGATGTAGAAACTTATGGAATAACTATCACTGATCAAATAGGAAATGTTTTACTTACCCCTCCAACTAAACCATTTAAAGATGTTTATGAAATCGCAAAAATATCTCATGGTCTATCATCAATTATAATATACTTAGAGATGTTTTATTAGAAGGTGTACCAGTTCAATAGAATAGAAAATGTATTAAATATGTAGAGACTTAAGAAGGAGTTTGGGTATTTTTTGAAGATGATTCACAAAAATTTTGTAATATTTTAGTTGGCGCAGATGGAATTAATTCTCCAAGTAAGTAGTTATAAATAATATCTATTATTTAAATTATTCTTAAATAACAAACATTTTTTTTTCTATTACCCTATGAAAAAAAATTTCTTTAAAATATACTTAAAATGTACTTATATATTTTAAAATATTAAGTATATTTTAGGTATATTTTAAAATATATAAATATATTTTAAGTATATTTTAAAGAAATTTTTTTTTATAGGGTTAGTACGAAAAATTACCCGAATTACAAATTGTTGATTATGGAATAACACATATTAGTGCGAATGTTTCTGTACCCCAACATCTTATGGACAAGGCAAATAAAATCCATGAAAACTTTTTGGTCCGTAAAACTCTTGGAACAAAAGAAGATTCAACGCTTATGATGACACGCTTAATACCAATCAAACAAGAACAAAATGATGAGAAAAGTGAACCTCATTATAGAGTAACATTAGTTTATTCTTATCCCTTCGAATTGGATAACGTTGATGTTGAATCCGATAAAGTTAAAGTTGATGATAATGATCCTGCATCAGTTATCGAACATGTTAAACGGTTAATTCGAACATTAAGACCAGATTGTGAATTGACTGATTTATTAATAGAATTTTGGGACTTGATACCTAAAACAATTCCAAATGATCCAATAAAGTTTCCATTTAAAACTTATAATCCTGTACAATGAAGAATGATGCGAGATATTGATCATGTCTATCAAATCATGGACAAGTAGTCAAGTTGTATTATTAGGTGATGCTGCTCATGCTATGAGTCCTATATTAGGATTAGGAGCAAATAATGCTATTCAAGATGTTGATAAACTTTCTCAAGCATTACTTAAATGTACGGACTGTAATATTTCTTTTATTGAAGAATATGAAAAAGAAATGTTAAAGCGAACATCTGCTGACATATTAAAATCTAGAACTGCCACATTTAAGACTTCTATTCCACTTGGACCTTTTGGCATTATAATTAGAGACAGCATTTTGAAGGTTATAAACGCTATGATAAACTTTTATAGTTTTGCGGATAACATAATTTTTAAGGACTAAAAAACTATTAATATTTAATTTATCATTTTTAAAATCTTAGAATCATANTTAAAATTTATATGAAATGATAATAATAATAATTATTATGTTTACTTTTGTATACACATTTAATGCTTCCTATAAGATTGATTCATTATACTTCTACCAAAAATCTTCAATGTTTTGTTACCCACATGGTTGCTCGACGTATGGGTTGGAAACGATCAAATCTTTTCTATAGATATTAGTTTCTAATTTTAATAAAGATAGACACGTCCTTGGAATAGATCGGATTTTATGTAAAAAAATTTGAGAACAAGAAATAGCATCAACTTCAACAAAGAACATATAATTATTTAAATAAATCTGTTCCTTCTCCATGGAGATTCTTTGAAGAATGGTGCTAAAATTTTTAGATGTACTATATGTATTTATATATATATTGGAGCTGGAACATTTCTCTTAGAATTATCAAATGAATATTCACTTTTGGGATTGATAAGAAAAATTATTTCTCGCATCAATTAAACCTAGTAATTTAAATTTTAACCATGCTGATATATTGCAAGGAAGAAAATCATTTTGATTTGACTTATTTAAATATCGAACCACGTTATACTTTAGATCAATGGACTTTTGTTATTGGTGAATTAATAAAAGTAAAGCAACCAGATGGATACGTAGAAGTGCAGCAGATTACATTTGAAGTACCTCTACTGCAGATTTGCTGTTACGTAAATCCTACAAAATATTACTCTTATTAAAAATTATTGATTTTTTACTTTATTATAAAGTCTCTTGAAGGAACAGCTGGTTCAAAATTTTTGAATTCGTAAAAAATGTAAGCTATAATTAATTACAAAATTTGTGAAATTTAGATTCATGCACTATATATAAATAAATTAATCTTTTCTTCATTCATAAAAAGTCGCCATGTTAAAAGTTGGCATGTTAAGACTGTTAAGTGTAGGGCACCATCACTTTTATCTACGAATCTTTGTTATTTCAATTTGATCATAAATAATATTAGTATGGATGAATTGAAACAACTAGTTTAGAAATTTATAGAATGTGGTTCATAAAATCGTAAAACTGGTAATAACAAATTAAATTGGAAAAAATGTTTAATAATTGTTTAATTACTTTATTTATTATAAGAAGTATTAATAAATTGGTAAAATTTTATGGTAAAATAATTTTCCGAAAAATTAAAATTTTCGTATTAAATAATGATGTCATTTATTTCTAGAAAATAATTAATTAAGTTATACGTTACATTTGACTTGGCATATGACATATATAGCAATTTTTTGTGAAACAGAAATAATGATAAATATTGGCAATGGTAAAAATTTACGCTTGATCGACATTTTAAGATACTTACAATCACCTAAAAAAGAATTACACAAAGATAAAGGTACGTTAACGTTTGTTTCGTTTGTTTCTTGGCAAAGACCTTATTTTTTTTATAAATAAATCCGCTAGAAAAATGTTTCTCGATTTTTTCAAAACAAATTTAAATTACACTAAAATACATTAGAAAAATTAGAAAAATCAAATTTTAAACATCATAACAATTTATCTTTTTTGAATTTTTATACAAATCATAATTTCATTAAAAATGCAACAAGAAAAAATTCCAACGATTATTATTGTCGGTGCAGTTCTAGGAGGACTTTCTCTTTATCATGCCTTGATAAAGAACAAGGACAAAAAAGAATTCAACGTAAAAATCTTTGAACGTAAAACTAGTCCTACAAGTATAAAAATTTCTAATTTTCTAGTTAAATATTATGTTAAAAACTTTAAAAATTAACTCACTCATACTGTCACATGCTAGATCGATGGCAAGATCATATAGGCTTGTTTAATTATGGAGTTCGATCTCTTTTAAACTGTGTTCTATCCTCGATCACTTCAAACCTTCCAAAAGCAATACCAAATCCAATTCCCGATGTAGAAACTTATGGAATAACTATCACTGATCAAATAGGAAATGTTTTACTTACCCCTCCAACTAAACCATTTAAAGATGTTTATGAAATCGCAAAAATATCTCATGGTCTATCATCAATTATAATATACTTAGAGATGTTTTATTAGAAGGTGTACCAGTTCAATAGAATAGAAAATGTATTAAATATGTAGAGACTTAAGAAGGAGTTTGGGTATTTTTTGAAGATGATTCACAAAAATTTTGTAATATTTTAGTTGGCGCAGATGGAATTAATTCTCCAAGTAAGTAGTTATAAATAATATCTATTATTTAAATTATTCTTAAATAACAAACATTTTTTTTTTATATTAGTACGAAAACAAAAATTACCCGAATTACAAATCATTGATTATGGAATAACCCATGTTAGTGCGGATGTTTCCGTACCTCAACATCTTATAGACAAGGCAAATAAAATCTATGGAAACTTTTTTGGTCCGTAAAACTCTTGGAACAAAAGGAGATTCAACGCTTATGATGACACATTTAATACCAATCAAACAAGAACAAAATGATGAGAAAAGTGAACCTCATTATAGAGTAACATTAGTCTATTCTTATCCCTCCAAATTGGATAACGTTGATGTTGAATCTGATAAAGTTAAAGTTGATGATAATGACCCTGCATCAGTCATCGAACATGTTAAACGGTTAATTCGAACATTAAGATCAGATTGTGAATTGACTGATTTATTAATAGAATTTTGGGACTTGGCACCTAAAACAATTCCAAATGATCCAATAAAGTTTCCATTCAAAACTTATAATCCAACGAAGAATGATGCGAGATATTGATCCAATGTCTATCAAATCATGGACAAGTAGTCGAGTTGTATACTTGTATTATTAGGTGATGCTGTTCATGTTATGAATCCTATATTAGGATTAGGAGCAAATAATGCTATTCAAGATGCTGATAAACTTTCTCAAGCATTACTTAAATATACGGACAGTAATATTTCTTTTATTGAAGAATATGAAAAAGAAATGTTAAAGCGAACATCTGCTGACGTATTAAAATTAGAACTGCCACATTTAAGACTTCTATTCCACTTGGACCTTTTGGCATTATAATTAAAGACAGCATTTTGAAGGTTATAAATGCTATGATAAACTTTAATAGTTTTGTGGATAACATAATTTTTAAGGACTAAAAAACTATTAATAATTAATTTATCATTTTTAAAATCTTAGAATCATATGCATATACGTATGCAAATACATATACATATAATAATCATTATCGTGCTCCGTATATTAACTGTTAATATAATTGCCGATAATTTTGTTATTTTAAAAAATTAAAAATAAACTATAATTAACGTTAAGCTATAATTAAGCTAAAGTCAATGGGTCACATGATAATATCGTTATTGTGCGACGACCATAGCGTCGCCTCCAAAAAATGGTAGCCGGATTATTTTGCCGGTTCTTTAGTGTTAGGGTTAGGATTAGGGTTGGGATTAGGGTAAGGGGATTAGGATTAGGATTAGGATTAGGGTAAGGGGATTAAGGGTTAGGAATTCGTCACATAATGTCACACCTAACGTTTCTTTAATTTTATAATTATTCTGAGGACTTAGAAAATTTTTTATACGTAAAGTACTAAATGTCACGTATTATTTATCACCTCTCAATAATATATGTAACCCGGCAAATTAGAACCGGCTACCATTTTTTGGAGGCGACGCTAGGGTGGTTGTTATTGTGCTTTGCGTTGATAAATATATAGAATATATGGAGTATAATATAGATAGAACTAATATTTATTTTTGTTAAAATTATTAAGAATAAAGAGACATTTTTTAAAAAAAAAAATAAGTATAATGATTTGTATACGCTATGGCTTTTTTTTCCTTTATTTTTTATATTATAAACCGAGGTGACCGTTAATGAACTGAATATCAAAATAAATGCGGACTATTTTTCTTATTCTTAATATATAGGAATTAAATACTTTTTTATTAAGTAAAAAATATATTTATTTATTCAAATAAAAATATATGTATATTTATTTTGATTATATTACAGCACGAACTTTGATCCAAACAAAAAAATAATTGGAAAAAAAAAATATTATTAAAAAAAATTAGTAAAAGACACTTAATATAGCATTGCATCATCAATCCAACTAGTGATCCATTGAAAAAGAATGAAAAAAAATTAGCAAAATAATAATTAGAAAAAAAATTATTATTAAAAAAAGGTGCTTACTGTAATACTGCAGCGTCATTCTGATCTAGATTTAAGTCTAAATAAAAAAATTAATATATTATATAATAAAAGGAAAAAAAATCAGTTTACAAAAAAACCAAATCGAAAAAAAAATTTTGGTTTAGAAAAAATCAANTTTTAAAAAAAACTAAAAAAAAATTTGAAAAAAATTAGTTTTAAAAAAAAAACTATATTAGTAAAAAAAATGTAAAAAAAAAAAAATTTCAGTTTTAAGAAAAAGAAAAGTCGAAAAAAAATAAAAAAAAATATTGGAAAAAAATTTCAGCTTTAAGTGAATTTAAATAAAATCTAAATTTATCTTTAAATAAAGATGGTGTTTTTATTCTTTTAATGATTATTTGTTTGAACTATAAAAAAATTTTTCTTGTAATGAGATGTTATTTCTGACCAAAATTCTATTTTGGTATTACATAACCATCCGGTTTAGTGAAAAAAATATTAATTTACATATAATAAATTCATATTATTGAATTTATTTCTTTTCTAACGAATTATTTTATTTTAAGTTATGAAAAATTTTAACAATTAAAATAGTCAGATCATAAACTAATCAATTTATTTTTGAACTTTTGATGGTATCGTACATCTATCTATATTAAAAAGCCTATTTACCATAAAATTTTAAGAACGGAATTAATTATCAATTTTTAAATTAGACGATTAAAAATTTGTTACCGAACTATAAAATTTAATCCAATTTTCAAATTTGATTTGTCCTCTTTTGCAGATTATTTCATGTATTCCATTTAGCCATTTTTGTAAAAAATCAACATTAATAAATACGGTAGCAAGTTTTTTCACTCTTTCACAAATTTGTAAGTTATAAAATATAAACATAAATGAAAAAAAAATGAATTTTAGTTAACTTGGTCCAACTACCTTAAGTATTAACCAAAACCATTTATTATGCGTAAAATGATATAATCAAATGAAATTTCACTAAGAATTTGTAACAATTATCATTGAGCAAAGATACATTAAGCGGAATATTTGAACTTACTGTATTACAGTTTTATGTTTAAAATCTTTATTTATATAGAATATTCTTAAATATAAAATCCAATAAATCTATATGTGCTATATATTATAAAATTTATAAAGTATAAATGAAAAAAAAAAAAATAAAAGTAAACTAACTTCAATATACGAATTAATTTTTAAACTATTTAACTTTAACTTTCACATAAAAAGAAACTTCATTCAATATTATCTTCACCATCTTGACAAATTTCATTTAGTTCTATAAAAAAAAAATAAATAAATTAGATATAGAATATTAATAAATTACAAATAATAATAACTTACCTAATTCACTTAATTGAACATCCAAGCATTCTGAAACTGCATATTGTATTTAAACGTTAATAAATTTAACTAAAATAATTATAATAATAAAGGGAATACTTACTTGGATTTACTGATGTTGATTGAGCAGTATAATTAGTGTCTATTAAAAAATAAAAAAATAACATTAATAATGTAAAATGGGATTATATGATAAAACAAAATGAAATTTAATTACCTGAACTGAATTGAAATGAAGAATTTACTGGTTTTGGAAGACTATTGAAATTTAAAAGTCTACTAGTATAAATTGCTTGTGGATGCGTTTTGAAGCTTTTGGATTTATCTTCATTTGACCTGTTTTTGAATTTTTCTTTTCTAATTTTATCACATTCTTCTATTTGAAAATAAATTTCACTATTTTGACCACTACTCCATCCATTTAGTGTTTGATACAACTCTTTAGTTGTTGGTCTATTTTTCATTTCAGCATCCCAACATTTTATTATCAAATCTGCAAGTAACTTTGGTATGTCATTAGAAATTGTTGGTCTAAGTCCTTTACATATTTTAATTGCTAAAAATTCATTATGAGGAATATCATTAAAAGGAATTTCTTCAGAAAGAAATTCGTTCATTATTATTCCAAATGAGTAAATATCTGCTGCTTTTGTATATTGTTGTCCACGTAAAACTTCTGGTGCCATATATGGTAATACTCCACAAATTCCTTCTTCTTTAACTGTTTGCTTTATATTCGCTGGTTGACACATTCCTAAATCACTTATATATGGACCATATTTAAATAATATATTACCTGAATGAAAATCTTTGTGAACTTTTTCAGCATTATGTATATCTAAAAGTCCTCTTGCAATTTGTTGTAATTTATCAATTTTAAATTTATAATCTATATAATTTTCAGATTTATTTAAATAATTTCTCAAATTTCCATTATTACAATATTCTATAACCATCATATACTCTTTACTATTTGGATCTTGAGTAATTCCAAAACATTGAATAATATCTACAAGATGAATCTGAAGATGAGATTTAATCTAATTATCATCAAAAAGGAAAAATTTTATTAATAAATAAATGCAAATAACACAATCTTTATATATAAGACAAAGTAAGTTTAAATTACCTCATTTAAAAAATCTGAACACATATCAGAAGAATTATTCAAACTTTTCAATGCATATTCACTATATTTAGTAATTCTATCCCATTTTTGATTTTCAATATCCCAACTATAAATATGTCCTTCAGGCCATTCAGCCGAATAAATCTTACCAAAACCACCTTCCGCAATATAAGTGATATTTTGAATTTTTTCAAAAGGTATCCATTCAAGATATTTTTTACAATATACAGCATTAAGTTGTGATTGCTGTATAAATTCATCAATATCTTTATTTCCACTAGTCCAATTTTTAAAGTTATCTTTAGATCTTTTAGCATTACAAGATTGTCACCATTTTATTCCTGTGCCAGGTTCTTTACATTCTCCACATATTCCATACACTTGTTTTCTTTTTTCTAAATCTCCTATATAAACTACTCTTTCATCTACATTTTCTGATTCAATAGTTGAATCAATAGTAGGAATTGTAACATGAAGCTTTTAATAGAAAAAAAATTATTAATATTTTTAACTACAAAAATTCAATTAAAATATTTATAATTATTAAAAATATTAAATTGCCATTACCTGATATTTACTTTTATCAGTATCCTCCCATAAATTTTTTGGGGTTTCATCCATATTAATTGAGCTGTGGATTATAATTTTAATTTTAGTTAATATAAATAAATAACTACGTTACTCAAAAATAAATTTCAGAATTATTATGGGAAAAAGAAAAAAATTTTAAATTGAACGAAGTGCGCACATTTGTATTACTTATTTGTATTACTATTTGTACTACTATTGTATACAAAAATTGATATTTTTGTAACAAAGAAAATTCGTAAGCAGCAGCTGATCATCATAAAAAATAAATCTAACCCGAAATGGTTAAGATGAAAAATGCGAAGTAAAATTATTTTCGGTAATCTATCTATCTAATTAAAAAAATTGTGTCATATTTAGATTACCCTGTATAAATAATTTGAATTGTGTAACATTGAAAAGTGTGCGTTCGATCTATCATATCATAATTATATCATAATTAACTGACTACGATAACAAATCTTTAAGCTAATACATTACAGTTAATTAAAATTTTAACTGGATTTTAATACTAACAAAAAAAAAGTATAATTTCTCTTATGCATTTATTTGTGGTCATTTCCGCTCTCTTAGTTACGTTACCACGAACTAATAATTTTTTTCAGTTTTTACCAAAAAACCGAAACTACCTTTTTAGTCTTTTTTTTATTAATTTTTTTATCCCTCTTTTTATCATTATTGTTTCTTTTGGTTAACTTAACCAAAATTTTTTTATTCTTATTGGATTTTTTTTCAGGGGATTTTTTTTTAATCAGGAATTTATCAAAATTTTGGATTTTTTTTAAATAGTTTATTCTTTTTTTTGGTTTGGGTCAAGACTATAGAACTATGTCCTACGGCTTTTTGTGAGATTTTTTTTAGTCAATGATATTGTTTCTAACTAATAAATTCGTGTGAAATTTTTTTTTTTAGTGAGAATTTTTTCCGACTAATAAATTTGTGAAAATTTTTTTTGATATTAACGATAGATATTTTGTAATTAAATCAATAAATTTTTTGATAAATCTATATAACTAAAAAACTATATACTGTAACTTAAAAAATTTGTCTGACGTTTGGATTAGTCTCTGCATAATAATTTGAATTGTGTAACTTGAAATCCATGCCATATAATTAAAACCTGTGACATACCTCCACCTGATCTATTTATCCGTGTACATTCCAATCAACTAATACAGTTTCATTTTACCTTCAAACTGAAAAATATTTTTTTTTTTTTCGAATTATTGCAAAAATTTTTTTCGATACTTATTTTTTTCAGATTCCTTTTTTTTTCAGAAATTTCCCTTTTTTGAACCGATTTCTTTCTTTATCCTTTTTCTTTCCCCCATTAATTTTTTTTTTCTTTCAATTTTTTTTAAAAAAAAATCAATAAAACATGTAGATTAAGATTTTCAATTAAATTGAACGCTGGATAAATAGTTTCCCTGTAAAAAATCTGATCCGTGTTTTATCTTTCCATGTTTTTTCCGTGAATGTATGTATCATTTTCATGGAATTTATAGCCTTAAATCATGGAAATTTCATCTCGCTAACACGGATATCCGTGAATGTATCATTTTCACGGAATTTTTACGGAAGACACGGAGAAATAATGAAAATATTCGAATAAAAAATTTTTTATAGGGTTTGATTTTCAAATTCATAAAAATCAAAAAAAAATTGATATTTTTACAATATTTTATAATTAATTAATTGAAGAAATTGTTGATTTAATAATAGACTAGTATAACCAAATCCATATCCAAAATTCTCTAAATAATCACCAGATTTTTGATTAAAAATTTTTAATTCAAATAGTTTAGTTAAATTAATAATTTTATCGAATAAAATGAGTATTCAAAAGAATAATAATAAATGAAATGAACAGATTTCTAATACATTTAACGTTAATTGTTCAAATATTATTCCTAAGTTGATTATAAGTTTAAAAATAATAAGAAATAATTAATTAATTAATATAAATATTTATAGTATTTTCATAATATTTAAGTTTTTTCAAGAATACTTCTAAAAAATTAATCAATTTTTATTGATAATTATTTTTTCACAATTCTTAATTAATCCGAATTTCACTCTACACTCAACCATCAAATCATTAATACAATACATATTTTTTGTTAAGTAATTATTACAATATTAAATTCCTAATTATAAACAAAAAACTTCTTTAATTTACTTAGTATTACATTATAAAACTAAATCTTTCTATTTAAAAAAACTCATTGGTCCCGGCGTGAAGCAACGGGTGACAGCTAGTGTAGATCATATAATTTTTTTTTCTGTATTTTCAAAAAAATAAATAGCAATAAACCTAATTGGCCACGCAAACTAATGTTTTCGGTTCACTTCACCCGGCCGGGTCACTTTTTCAAAATTTGACCAAAAAATTTTTATATGTAAAATTTTTTTTCACGTGATTTCAAGTGATTTTATTGGTTAAATCTTAATTATTATGAATAGCACTTTAAAATCTGCTTAGATGACAAACATGAAATTGATATATCATTAGAAAAATCCTTCATTTTTGTCTCTTTTTCAACTGGTAGAACCTTCCCAATCTCTTAAAGTTACAGAGTTGTAACATGTATGATAGGCATTTTTAGTAACAAACTGGAACGAAATTCATCCAATTATAAACTAGTAAGTCACGTGACATATAATAAAAATTTTTTATTAATAAAAAATAAAACCCGGGTCCCCGGGTCAATTTTAAATTTTAATGTTACGTGAACCGAAAATATTAGTTTGCGTGGCCTATAATAGAAAAATCATTGCCAAATTATATATCAAAAATAAATTACTTTGGAATAAAAATTTTAATTAATATATTTTTAATTAACGAAAATCAAGGTGGATACAGATTATAGTTTGCACATACAGTAACTTTACGCTAGGAAGATAAATAATAATATTGTATGGTTGGTTTAAATGAACCTTGTTTAGTAAATATGATAAATGAAAGAAAATGTAAGGTATTTCATACTATTATCCGTATGGAGAAGATAATATTATGAAGATGATCAAACATTGAATGATCGAAAATTTTATTGTATATACAGTACGTAAATCAATAATAATCTTGAAAAGTTTATTATGCAATTTTAAATTGAGTAAATTTTAAAATAAAAAGAAAATTTATTTATCATTTATCTTAAATGATATTTATATAATTATGTATTAAGAGATATATTTTTTGAATTGAGACCATAATCTTCCATATTACCTTTGCATTAATCTTACCAATCTTTGATGAGGCGTAAAAAAATTGAGAATGAATAAAGTGTGAAAATTGTATTAATGAATCCATTTCTACAATAAAAATATTATTAAATGTTTTTAAAAAGAACAATCTAACGGACTACAGGTTTCATGAAGATAAATACATCATATTTTGAATATTGTATTTTATAGAGAATTTTTCAAAATTAATGCAAAAAAATGTCAAATACTTCACGCAAACGAATATAATGCTCAAAAGTTGGAGAATGTTGAGAATGCCAATAGAAATTTAGTTGGTTTGATAGGTGCATGTTTTAAATTTATTTACAAAATTACATTTCTATTAATTCATATCAGCATAAAACTATAGCTTATGACATAATTGAGTGAATTCATGATAGTAATGCAAATTGAGTTTTTACACAGGAAATATTTATATTCACAATATCATAATTCCTAGCATGCTTTTGCGTAGAATGTAAAAGTCCTCTATTCCACTTCGGACAATCAAAGATCAATCTTTAGATCATACGTCTAGTAAATAACGTTAAAATGAGCATCAAATTAACTATAAATTTAAAAAGAGAAAAAGTGAAACATTCACGAGACAATTAATTCAGCTATAAACTTTTGAAATAGCTAAATGTTTAATGCTTTCATTAGAGAGTTTTTTTTGTTTTTTTTTTAAAAAAAAAGACATGAAAAAAATCGTAACGAAAAACAAAAATTTTTTTTTATTCGCTTGTAAAACTAATTATGATCAAAGTTATCCAATCAAAACCGCAACTTTTCATTTATGACAGAATTTTCTTTCACTTATATGTAAGGTTAATGAAAGTTTAATAGATGGATTGAATATTATCCTTATATTTAAATCTTTTCTTCGAAGCGGTTTTAATTTTAATTAGAAATTAAAGTCAGTAGTAGTACATATAAACTAAGTATTACTGTGTATAATGAAAGCTTGATTAAAGCTTAATGAACAATAACGTAGATTATTATTATATCATTTCTAACTTATTATTATATTATATTTGCAATAAGCAATATTATTGATGGAACTTATTGTGTTACGTTCAGTTTATTTTTATTTTTATTTTTATATTTCACGTGAACTAAGTCACAGTACAAATTACAAGGGCTAGCTATAAGAAAGTCAAAAGCAATTTAAAAAGAACCGTGAACCAAACCGCGAACAGGCCGCGCCACCCTGGTGTACGAAAATAAAAGAAACCTGTAGCGATACTCTAACAAAAGGTAACGCCCACACTAGAGTAAAAAGGCTAAGGAATTAAAAAATAGAATTGAAAGAACTATCTAAGAGTAATAATATTCGATAAATTGTAAAAAGAAGAAAAATATTCTATATTATCAAAAAGTGAACTATCTCTATGGGGTTCCCATGATCCTGAATGTAAAAAGTTACTGGAAGTCCAGCGAATGTAAGAAGTATCATCTATACGAGTTAGTTGCTTCATATACGGAGGGTTGAAGCACAAACCGCGACGGCCCTTTGTTCGTGTTGGTGTAAAGGTAGAGTTTTCTTTTTCTTGAAGTTGAATAAGCGATAATAATTCTTTTTCTTGCGTTTGTTAATACCATGTGAAAGTTCCCGTTTTTTTGAAGCGTTCTTTCCAGGTCATGGGTTTTAGATCACGTATTAAAGTATCCAAGAAAGAGATGAATAGAGATTCACGAAGAGATTTTTTTCCTATATAATTGTAGAAGAAACATGACAGTCGGCTGGAACTAGGTTATTGATTAATAATAAGCTTGGATGAGTTGTTGGGATAGTGATCGTCAAAGCTGTATTGTAAGTTGAACAAGGGTGACGCGTTAAAACGATACGCAATGTCGAAGGTGAAACTTGAAGTATAAAGTAATGAGTAGATCTTTGTGGCGTGAAAGTACGTTACTGATACCATGAAAATGTTAAGGACAAAGTCCCAGGTGAAATTAGTGTCCGCCTCGAGGTTACATTCTGTACATTTGAGTATTCCAGCTTGGGTAATTGTGTTGTAAAATATCTGCTGTAGGGTATATAAAATTAGATTTTTTTATTTTCGATCCTTACGATTGTGACGTTCGATAGGTTTGAGTGATGAATTATTAACCAACGAGTTAAAGATACGGGCTTGAATCGGAGTATTACTCTGTTGTCTAATGTTTTAATCGACTATGTAAATGTTATTCCATTTAATATAACCCGATGAGGAATGGTGAAAAAATTTTGAGTTGATAATGATCGGGAATTCTACTGTAGTTCCCGCTGCTGCTAAGCAGTCAGCTTGTTCGTTGAATTCAACGTTACTGTGAGCTTTAACTTTTTTAAGAATTAAAGTGATATTTCGATAGTGTATAATCCAAAAGATTAAATTCCAAATTAAAAATATTTTGCTTTAATTGTCGTCTGGGACTAATCGTGGGAGAGGCCATTCGTTCTTGGTATGTAGTAATGCAGTTGGCTGAGTCTGTAAAAATTGTACAAGTACTGTTATACGGGATTGTAATGAGGGCGGTAAGTATGCCCATAGCTTCACTTTTGGTTGATGACGGAAAGAATGCCGTAGCGCCTCTGAATTGTAAGCACGGAGCGTGAGGGAAAGCTTGTATCCAACCGTATCCTCTGCTACATCGAGTGCCAATTTGTTTGACTGATCCATCTGTGTAAAAATGTAGAAAAATGAGTTGCTAATTTGATGAGTTCTTTTTTAATGTCTTCATGACAAATAAGGGCTAAATTGATCCGAGAAATTGTATTTGAAGGGAATCAGAAATATCATTCGAGGATAATAAATTCCGCAGTTACGTGGTCACGTGTGTCGAGTATTATTAGGCTTACGTAATCTGTATTTATTAGGAACAAGTCGTACTAACATAATATACCCATTTAAATATCTTCTGAAATGATCGACAGTTACATACATAAATTATGTTTTGGTAATACATGTCCTTAATAAATAAATAAACAAATTTAAATTTGCATAAAAAAAAACTTCGTCAATAAAAGTCAAGAAGCTCAATAATGTCCAACAACATTGAATCTAACATACCTGTAAAATTTACTGAAAATTCAAAAAATGAGTGGATTAATTGGATTGAAGTAGCTATTGCAAAAGATTACTTTAAATATTATGAATTCAATCATTTTAGTAATTTTCAAGAAATTGGGTTTGGAGGTTTTGGGAAAGTTTACCGTGCGAACTGGAAAAGTTCTCATAATTATTTAGCATTAAAATCTTTTTCTAATTCCAACAACGTCACAATTAAAGAGATCGTTAAAGAGGTAATAATAAAATAATTGTTATCTTATAATTTATATAATTTCTAATTTAAAATTCTATTTAGCTTAAAATTCAACGTGAAGTGGATTTCCATGAGAATATTATTCGTTTCTGTGGCATTACAACAGGTGCAATATATTTTCTTTTATATATGATTTAACTGTAAGACCTAAATTTAATTTTTTTTTTTTTTTTTTAAAGAAGATCAAATTGATAATTCAAAAAAATATTGGTTAGTGATGGAATATGCAGACGGAGGTACTCTTCAAGAATATTTGAAGGAACATTTTGATAATCTTACTTGGAATAATAAATTTAATATGGCACTTCAATTGGCTTGTGCTATATTATGCTTACATGATGAAGAAATTATTCACCGTGATCTGGTAATTCATTTATTTATATTCATCATTTTTGCGTTTGTTGAATTGTAATTAATAAAATTATTGTATCTAATTATACTAAATAGCATTCAAAAAATGTGTTAGTTCATCAAAATATAATTAAATTAGCTGATTTTGGTCTATCAAAAAGAATTGAAGAATCATCCAACCTTCAGTCTTCAACAAAATTATTTGGAGTAATTCCTTATATTGACCCAAAAAGCTTTAGTAATCAAGATTATAAATTAAATAAAAAAAGTGATATTTATAGCATTGGAATACTTTTATGGGAGATATCCAGTGGTAAACCTCCTTTTCATACTGAAGGCAAATCATATGATGTTTGTTTAGCAATTAATATAATACAAGGTCTTAGAGAGACGCCTATTCCTGACACTCCTGAAGACTATAAAAACGTTTATACTGGTAAATATATTCAAGACATAGTAAATTTATTCTTGAATTAATATTAATTAAATCAATTACTTTGTATATTTTTAGATTGTTGGAATAATGAACCAGATGGTCGTCCCACTATCAATCAGGTTGTCTCTAAATTAAATGCAATGATTATAAATAACAGTAATAATATGACTATAAAAGATTTTCAGACTAATGGCTCTTATACAAACATCCAATTATCCAGTAAACAGCAACTCAATTTGAATGCTTTTGAAGATCCTATAAATAATCCACCACATGGGGAATTATCCAAAATTATTCAAAATTTTAACGATATGAGTACTAAAGAAATAGATTCTTCAATATCATCAAATAATAACTTTAAGGTGACAGTTGATGAAATGGTAGAACTTTCTGATAAGACAAATATAGATGCAGAACAGTTAGATAGACAAAGCCTTTATAATTATCTTAATAATCGTAATATAACTTCACGGGAAATTTATATTTGGATAATAGATAATCAAAATTATTTAAATTCTATTGTTTTACTTGGAGATTTTAATTACTTAGGAATTGAAACTAATATTGATAAAGAAAAGGCATTTGAATTATATCAGGTAGCTGAAAATTCAGGAAATATTATTGCACAATATAATATTGGTTGCTGTTATCTATATGGGAATGGTGTTTATAAAGATTGTGACAAAGCTTTTGAATTATTTAGAAAATCAGCTGAAAGAGAATATTCAAAAGGAGTAAATTATTTAGGATATTGTTATGAAAAAGGAATTGGAATTAAGATTGATGTAAAAAAGGCATTTGAATTATATCAAAAGGCAGAAGGTTTAGGAAATTCATATGGAATAAATAATTTAGGATATTGTTATAGAAGAGGAATTGGAACTGATATTAATGAAAAAAAGGCACTTGAATTATATCAAAGGTCAGCAAATTTAGGAAATTCATATGGAATAAATAATTTAGGATATTTCTATCAACATAATATTGATGTAAAAAAGGCATTTGAATTATATCAAAAGGCGGCAGATTTAGGAAATGCAAATGGAATATATAATTTAGGATATTGTTATCAACATGGGATTGGGACTGATATTGATGAAAAAAGGGCATTTGAATTATATCAAAAGTCAGCAGATTTAGGAAATTCATATGGAATGGATAACTTAGGATATTGTTATGAAAAAGGTATTGGCGCTGATATTAATGAAAAAAAGGCAATTGAATTGTATCAAAGGGCTGCAGATTTAGGAAATGCAGTTGGAATAAATAATTTAGGTAATTGTTATAGAGAGGGAATTGGAACTGATATTGATAAAAAGAAAGCATTTGAATTATATCAAAAGTCAGCAGATTTAGGAAATTCATATGGAATAAATAATTTAGCTCATTGTTATAAATATGGAATTGCAACTGATATTGATGAAAAAAAGGCATTTGAATTATATCAAAAGGCGGCAGATTTAGGAAATGCAAATGGAATAAATAATTTAGGATATTGCTATCAGTATGGGAGTGGAACAATTATTGATGAAGAAAAGGCATTTGAATTATATCAAAAATCAGCAGATTTAGGAAATAGTGCAGCTCGATATAATCTTGCTTTTATGTTAAGTATGAGAATGGAGACATAAATCAAGCAATTTACTGGTATTATATATCTGCATTACAAGGAGATCAAGATGCTCAAAATAAATTAGAACAAATTCATGTGTTCTATGCAAAGTAAATTGGAATGTTTAAATAAAATAAATAAGTAATTAAAAGTACTTTTATAGGATTTTTTTCGTTTATTTCTTTGAGTGCTATACAGTGGCGGGTGATCTTTCGTAACACAGTAGTCATGACAGTACAAAAATGTTTTATTTTGATTTAATAACAATAAGTTTATTATTTGTAAAAATTTTATATACATTAATAAAATAAAAATCAAAAATTTATTAATATTGGTCAAACATGTGATGCATTTCTTTTGATTGTTATTAAAATTTTTTTTATTTGCATAATAAAGATCCCAAAAACAACCCAAATATATAAATATTTTGATAAACTACATTTTACCACCTAGTATAATCTCCATTAGCTCTAATAACATCGTTTACTATACGATCTGGCATAGCACTCTAATATCATTATCTTCAAACCACTATTTTGTAAGATGTGCGGTATGCTTCGGATCATTGTCCTGTTGAAAGACAACATTATCTTTATCCATCCCATGCCACTCAATGGTTTCCCAATAAGTCTTCCTCCAAGATTTGACGATATAAATTACTATCATTACTATCCATATGACCATAAATTCGGCATATTTTACCAGCGCCACTGGATGTAAAACATCCTCATACCATAATACTACCCAAACCAAATTTTACTGTTGTTTTGACACGGTGGTCTCTTAATGGCTCCCCTGGTTTTTTCCAGCAATATTCTCTGCTATCTGATCCATATATCATGAGCTTTGACTCATCAGACCAGATAACTTTGCTCCAATCCTCTGATGTTCATGATCAATACTTTTTTTGTAAATTTCATACGAGCAATTCTATGTGTTTTTTTAAGATAGGGCTTTTTCTGTTTGACTCTTGCACCTGATCCATTTCGATGTAAGGTCCTATTCACTGTACTTTCACTGACTCCCATCTGCTTTTCAAATTTTAATTTTTTAATAGCTACTGCATTAGTGCACTTCCCTGTTGTAATATACCGCAAAACTTTTCGCTCATTTTGGCCTGTTAAGAGTTTTGGACGTCCAGATTTAGGTTTATCTTTAAAAGTTCCAATAGCATCTTTACATTGCTTGATTCTTATAACAGTTGATTGCGAAATTTTTTCTTTATCCACTACATACCGGGAAGGATAACCTTCTTCAAGAAGAGCACAAATCCTAGACCTTTTTCGATAGATAAAAAACCATAGTTAGTTTATAAAATTAAAAAAGGAAATGATATGCTACAAAGCACCTTTTTATACTTTTTCATTGTTGTTTTGAAGCGCGAAAAAAAATTGTTTATTATTGAAGAAGTTTACTTCAGTTTAGTAAACGGTCAAAAGAAAAGGATCGCGTGTTTTAAGAATTTTTGCATATGGCGAGTGGATTTTTAAAAGATGGACGAGATTGATAAAATAAGGTACCATGACCACTGTGTTACGAAAGATCTCCATTTTACATTTTTCATTTCGGTCACTTTTGACCGCCACTGTATAATAATTAGTAAATAAACATATGAGCTGTGTATTTACTAGCAGTTTATATTAACAAATAATATTATCTATTTATTTTTTAAGTGCAATGTTAAACATAATCATGTGTTTTAACGAATTCTTTAGGACTATACACACATTTTCGAGGATAAAAAAAATCGCCACTGAGAATTACCCTTCTAGACCAATCCCGTACTTTCCATAAAATCTGTAATAAAAAATCAATCTTTAGCGTCTAGCAAATAACGTGAAAAAGAGCATTATAACTTTATGGAATAGTATCAAATTAACTATAAAAAGTATAAAGTTAAAAAGTGAAAAAATGGAACATTAACGAGACAATTCAGGTGTAAACTTTTGAAATAACTAGATGTTAATGCTTTAGAGATTTTATTATTCGCTTGTAAAACTCAAAACCGCAACGACAAATTACGATATACGATATATTTACAATACTAACTTCTAACTTCTTTCATTTCTATATAACTTAATAAAAGTTTATTGAATATTATTCTTATATTTATCATAAATTGAAATCTTTTTTCCGAAGCGTCAAGTTTTAATAGGATATAGTATTTAGAAATTAATATCTAGTAAGCTTGACGAACAATAAAATAAATTATTATATCCACTATAACTAATTATATATATAAATCAAAGAAACTGTTTAACGAAGCAAGATAACTTAGTCCCATATTACCGGAGTCTAAATCTACTGAACCAACGATTGGAAGATGAATATAGAATGTTCGTCATATTTAATTTTTAATTTCATTTAAAAAGGAAATTATTTCATTATTTCAAAAAATAAAAAAATTTAAAATCCCAATTACGATCTAAGTATTCTATCACAGCACATTCCTTTGTTTTACAAATCTTTATTCATGCCGCATCATGTATCTTAGCTAAAAATATATATATATATTTATAATTAATTATTAATGGACAATTAAATAGATCATATACTGTATGTACAGTATAAAATAATGTATACAGAATTACAAAGCCCAGAGAAATTATTTGTCATATCTATAAAAGAATGAATTCATTAAATAATATTTAAAGCTCTAGATTACTTAAATTTTGACGGACACAATTTAAAAATTTAATTATAATATCTTTTAAAAAAATTACTTACTATTAGTTCACTTAAATATATAAATTAAATTATTTATTTATTTCATTTATATACTTCATTTTTAATTATGTTAATAGTATACATTATTAGTAAAAGAAATGTTTCACCTTCCCTATTTATAAAGGATATCGAAAAAAAAAATTTAATAAAAAAATTTCTAATAAAAAGATATCAGAAATTTTTATTAATATCATTATTAAAGTACTACGGCCCTACCACAAAGGGACTTCCTAAGAAGTGCACTATGCTCCTCCCGTGAAAATTACGCATAGCACCATGCCGTACCACAACCAACCGGTCCTATCGTGGGACTGCAGCGAAAGCTGGTACCCACGAGCTTACTAAAAGCAAGCATCTATGCTCCAACCCTTCGCATAGTATTATACCGCTCCAAAAAAATTCCCAGCCAGCTCTACTGCGAGACTGCAACAAAAGCTGGTACTCACAGGCTTACAAAGTAAGCATGCTATGCTCCCACCCATGCATAGCATCATGCTGCTCCAACAAAAGTACCCGAAAAACTACTTGAGAATACCTATAATACTTCTTTAGACAATAAACGTACGAGTTGTGAGGGGAAGTGAAAAAAATGAGAGAAGAAAGGAAGGAGGAAAAGGAGGCGAGAAGAAGGGTGAGACGACAAGAGTGAGAAGGTAGGGGAGGGAAGGTTGAAAGACGATAAAAATGTGAGGAAGTAAAGATGATATAAGTGGAAATAATAGTTTTATAGTTATACTCTGTAAAAAAGTTTATGATGCACGATCAGTACTATTAAATCAACAAATTATTAGATGACTCATAATTATTACGTCGATGTTGAGTCATTTGATCACGTGATTCAGATCCAGAGTTTATACTTAATGCCAGCTGGAATTATCCAAAAAGGAAAGATCTGCAGTAAATTATTTTAGATCAATATATTTCTACAAAATGCAATCATAAATTTGTGCAACATAGAGTATATATATATATATTTCAGGAGTTAATGTAACACGGGTGAACTTATTTTGTTTCAAAATGTCTCAACTTAATATTGATTGTTTAAACGAGATTTTTAAATATATAGATGATGATGATATAGTTACTTTAAGTTCATGCTTATTAGTTAATCAACTTTGGTGTCAAGTTTCAGTGAGAATTTTATGGAGAAATGTTTCTAATTATAATACTTCGAATTTTAATACTTTAATTGCCTGTCTTCCAAATGAATCAAAAAAAATTTTAAATGAGAATGGAATTAATATTTC